GACCACATGCCACATCCACTGCGGATATCCTGTAGACCAATCTCCCATAATAATCAGATACATATATTGATTACTATGTTATACAAAGGATCATTTCTCCTTAACAATCATCTTAAAACATTGTGCAAGGTATTCCTGAAAAAAAATGAGTCAGAGATTTTGCAGTCATCTTTCTATGCCTAACAGCAAGATAAGACGTCATGCAACTGGCTCCGAGGAAGATCCAAAGTAATTCATCACTTCCTATGTGAAATTATATTGTTGGGTTTTTTAAATATACATCACACTTTCTATCACATGCAATTGTAAATTGGGTACATAAATTATTTGTGCAAAATTACATATTACTGCTATATACATAATCAGAAAAATTTTGGAAACTTTTGCTGCTTTTCAGGGGGTCACCCTTACAATCTGAGTAAACATGTAAGCTGTTTTCCTACCAAAAGGAATGACTAGCTAAACCGCTTTTATAAGATTCATTGTCTATTTATGAAATCTGCCTTAAATTGTGGAGGGCTGGTATTTTGTTTGTTTTGTAACAAGATGCACCAAGACCTTCTTATACAAACGTGAATCATGTTTTCTTTAAGAAATTATTTGGGGCCTGAAATAGTTTCCGCACTGAATCATTCTCAACTAAAGAGAAACTTTTACCTTTAGCCAACCATATCTGGCTGGGATCCCTCTTTCAGTACTAAATTATAAGAACTTTGTCCTCTGTCAGGACTAAAATCCCATTTACTTAAGTGCCTCCTTGTCATACATCTGTGAACAGTTTAATAAAGAAACATTACAAAATTGATAGGACTCTTGATTTGTTGGTTTGCTTTGGCTGTTTTTCAAAAAAACATTGTAACACCTTCACATCCAAAAACCATACAGTATTATTTGTACTTATTAACCGGAGTATACAAAATATTTGCTTTGTTGCTGAAATATTCCTGTAGCGCTGCAAGCAACTAACATTTCTAACTACTAGATTTGCTAAGATAAAAGAATATCAGGAATCTACTTCTTCAGAAAAAGTCATTCTAACAACTGGAGGCCAAATTCTGCCTTCCTTTACAGTCATGCAATAGCATTTGTTAACTGTTGTGAGGGCAGAATTTAGCTCCAAACCACATTTTTACCTAAATACATTATCTTTTCCTACAGAAAAAACAAGCTATGTCTTATCACTGCTCTTCCCTTCTGAAGGGTAAATACTGATATTTGAAATACCTAAATTGTATTTACAGCTGTACAACACTGATGCCACATACTTGCAAAATATCACTTGTACTCCATAAACATGGGGTAACTTGTACAATAAGCTTAAAAATTTTTCTTAAAATAAAGAAAGAGCAGACAAGCTTAGACATTTTCTTTGTCAAATTCACACACAAAATACATGGTGATATGACATGCAACATCATTCCACCCTCCAGACGCCACCATCTCCACGCAGTCCTCCTCGTCATAAGCATTGTTGGGCTCCCCACTGCGCCATTTGTTGAAGGTCTGCATGGGCGATCGGTCAGAATAGACAAAATTTCCCTCTTTCTCTAGGTCGTTAATCCCAATGAAAACTCTGGTGAGCCCAGCTTGGTTGATGTACGAGGCGATCAGATTGTTGGCAGTCTCATCCTTGGGCATGCTCAGTGTCCCTCCTCTTCCGTGGCAGTAGAGCTGGGCTTCCTTGTATCTTTTCTCTTCCTTCACCAGCAGATATATCTTATTATCCGTCTCACGCACACCAGCAACAGCTGCGGGGGAGGGCAGTGCTGAAAAGTGAGCACTCGCATTTCTATAAACCAAGTTACTGTACACCCCAAAATAGCTTCACAAATCAGATGCGGAATGGTGACGCTCTCTACGAGCAATTACACCAGTAAAATGAGGCAATAAGAAAGGAAAATATTTATATAAAACTAACCTACCATTTTTTATGAATTTTAGTTCTGTTGTCAGCTGGGCCACTTGGATATCCATTTCACCAATAGCCTTCCTCAGCTGGCTGCACTCACAGGGGATGCCTGTGAAATGACACAGATATACCAAAATCAAAAGCTATCTAATTTCAATAATTATCTAAACAATTTTACGAAAAGACCCTGAGTGGCAGCCCTGGAGAGGGCTGCCTTGTAAAGACAGAGACCTAGAGCCTTTGCTATGCCGCACCATTGTATAGTTCTCATAGGTGTCTGGGCCTAGTCAGAACAGCTCGGCTCACTTCCCATGAAGCTTCTGCCCTGCATGACTAGTGCTAACCTAAACACAGACAGATATTCCCTGCAAAAAAATACAGATTTCTTTTTTAACTAAAAACATTTCTCAAAATTTCCCATTTTGAGTGAAAATATTCTCTTCCATCTTCTCCAAAGAGCACTTATTTCAAAGCGCATTGTTCGCCTGTTCCTCACAAGGAACATAACACAGCATATCCAAAAGGCTAATGCTCCAACCATGTAATGCACATAATTACCTGCAAAATGTAGTTCTCTACTTTCAAATTTATAGTACTTCTTCCAATAAAATAAGACAATAGAAAATCATCTATTAACCCAAATTGATATTGGTTTGACAAAGATAATCTGAATGAGAATACTAAAAGGATAATTGTTACAGCTATGAGCTCAAATCTCAAAATGAGGATCAATTACAGTTTCCAGTCCTGTGTGTAATTATTCAAATCTGCATTTGACTACCCAATTACTCAGCTTAGGTGTCTAAGGCAGTCTAAGCACAGGGTACTTATATTGTAAAACTGTGCTTGATGACTAGGTATATGGTACTCTGGCTAAAGAATTAGAATGACAAATTATGTTTTCATGAGAAAACTAATTGGTGTACCTCTAGTGCACCCTGCCAGGAAGTGATGAATTGGGTAAAATCTCACTCTGCCACTTTTGTAAGGCTTACACTTCTTATGCCAGGCTTTCACCTTGTTCTTTGGAAGATCTGTACTCCTGGTAATCTCCTACTCCTGTAACAATAAACCATGGAGGGGCAGGAGCTTCCAATCTGCTCCTTTGTGTTGGCTGGAAGTCAGAGTGCGATATGCAGAGATGTCCCTTTGCACTAGTGATGAACGATACAGACAGTTGCACTTCAGTTCCCACTAATCTTCTGGTGTGATCACACCTCTGAGGGGCTCTGAGACACTGTTTCGACAAATACACAAGTCCAGCAACTACTGCAGCTTCAATAACTTTCAATAATTTGAAAATATTACAGTGCTTATGCAAATATTTAATTTTCATTATTTCCCTCAGTATGTAAACAGACACGTATTTTTGGTGATGATGGATGCATCTCGTAAAATCCTTCATATACACAAGGTGTGTCATGGATTACCTGGATCACCATTAGGACCTGGTGGTCCTATGTCACCATTATCTCCTTTTTCACCTAAAGACATGAAAAAGAATATAAATTTAAGGCAGCTTTTTAGGTCAACAGTTCATTTAGTACTTCTTTTTTTTTTGTCTAGTAACATTCAAATGTGGAAAGTAGAAATATGCCCAAGCAAAAATGAAGATTTTTCTGTCTTAGTCATTCCACAACAAAGGCCAGCCAAAGCTATGAAACTCAACCACAAAGAATATGTACCAGTATCCATTTTTTTGACATTCACGAACTTCATAGACCCAGTAAGTTCAGATGTCACAGAGGGAAAACGGCTGGATATGCTACACTGGTGCTTAAATCTAGATTCATAATCTAGATGCTTAAGTAAACATTGGTCCAAATGACTCAGGCAAAGTCACATAGGAAGCCTATGAGGTAAGCAAGATGAGAATTCATCTTCTGGCTCTTGAAAGTCTGCCAAATACAGCACATCTTTCCATCCACGTCTCTTAACTGTCCACACTTGTGTGATGGTGCACGAAGTTCTTTATTTAGCCTTAAACCATGTTTCTCACCATGCTTTAAGGCTAAATATACTGCTCTCAGCAAAAGGTAACTGGCTGAGAGATCTCAGTCATTTGGCTGACTACAGTGTGATAAACTCCCTATTACAGTAAACTCTGAGACTTGTTAACCATTTTTCAAGCCCCTAAACTGTTCTCAAACATAAAACATAAATGATCACAGATTTTTCATCTGAAACACAAATGAAGAAACAGCTGAACTAAGCATACCTTTTGAACCAATAGGGCCAATTTTTCCATGCCGTCCCATGCTGCCTTTCTGTCCTTTGTCCCCCATTTCTCCTACACATAACAGAAAGACGAAAGACACAAGGTAGCAACATAGTTTGATTCCTTCACACTCTAGCATGCTTGCAATATCAGTTTTTACAATGAGCAAAACCACGCCATATCCCAAATATTCATTGAACTCCAGAGGTCCAGCTCAGTCCTTGTGAAGAACTTGCATATAACAACCTAGACAGTGATTTAATCTTTGCAAAGCACTTGACATTAATGAGGCATGAAGGTGTAAATGAAAACGGATCTTGGATGAGAGCCACTGGAAAAGCTTTTGCGAACTTCTCTCAGATGATCATGCCAGATATGTGTTGACTGAGGGGGGACTGCATTCAAACACGGATCAGTGGATTAAAACTATCTTAGAGTTGAGAAGACCTAAAGGATCTAAGCACAACTCCTGGTTTCATCCAATACAGTAGCTCCACTGCAACTGAGGGCTGAATTTGGGCTTAGTGTCTTATTTATACAATATAGGCACTGTGGAAGGAGTCATATCCTCATTCTTTGCTCCTGCATTAGAAGATTACATTAATGAAAGATGTAATGACACATGCAGATGTTCATACAGTCTGACACAAACCAGCAATGTTGAATGTTACTAATATTAAAGACAGTTCCACAGAATACTTCAGAGTGCAGTTGTAGCAAAGGAGCTGCCAAAAAATCATTTTCCTCAGCTGCGTTTTTACAAATAAAAGGCAACTATCCACCTCTTAAAGTCAATTGAAATTGTCAACAAATCTGCATGAACCAGCCACTGCCACATATCTGTGTCCATGAGGCATACACAGAAATCTAATGTAAGACAGCTTGATTCACTTACTTCGTCTGACTTTGACCTCTTTTCTATTAGTTGTACTTTCCTGTGTGATGCAAAGTGAATATTAGAATGGCTTCAGGGGAAACGGATTTTGCACTGGAACAGGCAGTTTCTTTGCCATTACTGTCTTCAAAAACCAAGCTGAAGCACTGTTACTAATAAAATGTGTGCCACAGTCTAAGTATCGATGTCATTGATCTGAGCTCCTCCAGAGCTCAAATAATGAAACAGATAAAACATGCCTGTTACGTCATATGGTTTTTCTGGATGGCATTTCTCAAATTTTATGAAAAGTAATTATCTCAATGGTGTGAATCTGAGAGAACTTTAGCCTGTAATAGCAGAGACTTAATCCAATCGCATGTCTACAGAGCTCATCTATAAGTTTAGGGGATCAGCAGTTGAAATTAATAAGCAATAGTGACCTAATAGAGTAAATACAGCAGGCTTACACATGACTGAACGGTTTGGATTAAACCAAGCCATTTAAGCTTGTCAGATGATACTTTGGTTCTGGCATTGGTTTAGAGAGGATTCCCTGATTTGTTTTAGGTAGACTTTCTGAGACCTATGAAATGAGACCTGTCACTTTGTTACACTCACTATGCAAGGAATGTGGCAGAGTTTGGCTGATGCTGCAGTTCCTATGGCCTAAGGAGCCTTAGGAAATAGTACCACATCTCAGTGTACATTGGTGATATCCTTTCCTGGGTGCAACATCTGAGGAAACCAATGTTCTGCCATCAGATTTACGTTTCTTTGTATCGTGATTTCAAAGAGAAATGTGGTCTGGAGGCAGCATGGATGTACAGCTACGTCATATGAGACAGGTTTCCCACTGTACCACACAGTACTAATGGAGAACGTGTATGGAGGGAAGAAAGGGCCAAGAAGCCAACTGCCTTCTGAGGTTCCCATCCTGCAGAAACCCAAGAGTAAGACTGCTTTAGGAAATATTAACACAGTTTTTTTCAATGATTGTTGAAAAGATTGTTTCTTTGCTCAAAGCAACATCTATTATGCACTGTTTGGCTACACAAGAGCAGAAAATCAGAGACAGTTAGGAGGAAAATCTACCGTAGGGATCCAGCAACTGACCTTGTGTAAATCGTTATACCTCAGCTGTGGAACTATGACAACTGAAGATCTGTTGCCCTCTGTTGTTACTGCAACTGGACAGAGTCACATATTTCCTCTATATATTTTTAAAAGCTGGATAATTTTATGACCCATTTCATCATTACCTTTAACTTAAAAGTGTAATCAATAACAAGTTTCAGAATGTAAACTGATCACCACTGAGCTAGATCTCATCTGTATTAGTCCATGAAGCCTCAACCAACTGTCACTTGATGGCATGAGTCAAGAAGAAATCATTTCCTCTGAACTAAGAGAAGTCAAATATGTATGGCTTGCTGGTCTCACAAATTACTGGCATGTCCTACAGTCAATGATTTTCCTTTGTTTCCAACAAGGATCAAATTCAGTCACTACTGGACACAGACTCAATTAGGAAATTTTACCAGAAACCAAAAACATTTTTCTCATATGCTACATATTTCTATTGGAAGAATGGAAGTAATCCACTTAGCCAGCTGAAGATCTGCTTTCTGGAATAAAGGTTCACTTTCAGAGCAGATACATAGCTTGCCTTAAAGATGCAATCCATCGGGCTGTGCAGGATATAAAGGTACTGATGCTACCATTGGTTATTTATCCAATATAAATAGTATATTGAGAGGGTACTTCCTTGAAAAGCTCTAAAGTTTCAGCTTGTAATGAGTTTATCAAGTTGCTCTGAAAGTCACCTTTATTGCTTTGGATATTTATGAATTGGGATTACCATAACAGATTGTCAGATGTTTGAATGCTTTCTTTTTTCAGGCTGCTACACCTGAAATTAAATAAACGCATAGATCTAATGCATAAATAAAATATAATTTATAAAATTACTTCACTTTCTCATAAAGTGTGCCCAGAAAACAAAGTACTTTTCAGTAATAGCCAGTAAAAGCTATGTGATCTGCTCAGAAGTGAAAGTGTGTTATCTCAAACAATGAAGACACACATTAAGTCTCCTGTGCTCATTAAAAGAACTGTTTGGACTTGGTTTTCTCTTCCATGACTAACCCCTGCTTCTACTCCAGGGGCTTATTCTGCTTCTTTTGCAGAATAAATCACAAGGTTTCAAGAGAGACCCATCTGCCTTGAGGGTTTCAAAAGTTCTAATACCTTCTGTAAATTTCTTTTTAGTGGCCCTATGATTGCCAAAAATGCAATCTAAAGAGTCTTAATGAAATCAGGAAGTGAGAGCTGGAAAGAAATGAGGACAATGAAAGAAATTAAGTCTCCATAGACCAAAAGTAGGAAATCTAACAGAAAGTTTGAATGCAGAATATGAAGCAAATCATCTGTCATCTCTCAGATGAAGGTGGTATACACTGGAACCAATTATAGAAGACTTAAAGGATTTTGGAAGGAACTGAAGAGAAGAAAATTCTAAATTATATTTTTGGTGGCTTTTTCAGGCCCACAAACAAGAGAAGAAATAAAATACCAGAGATGAATGGCGGACTGCACAACAAATGAAAAAATAAGGGCTTTGGCTCTGTGCAACACTATAAATGGGGGTCTTCATACAGTATGGCAAATCTCTTCAGACAGGATTAATGGGAACAGACAAGAAGGTATAAAACCACTTTAAAAAAAAAGGTGTCAAAAAGACACATCCAACAGAAACAAATTCTCCATGTCACAGACAAATCAAATTGAGTTGTATCAAAGAGAGCAGTAGTTCACTTCCCAAACTTAAGTATTTGAAGACTAAGCAGATAGAATTTCTTCATGATTTGACATAGCAGACATCATGGACACCTACCTAACAACAAAAGTAGAAGTGTACCAAACCAGACCAAAGGCCTCTTGACTCTAGTGCCATCTTTGACGGCAGTCTGCAGATGATACTTAGAAAAAGAATTTAAGATGTAGACCAAGATTACAATGTCTTTCCCTCAGTGTACCTTCTTGGTCTTGCAGGAGTCAGTATTCCCAATGCAACTATCTAGCCTGACTTGAATGAGAACAGTATTTTTAAAGGATATAAAGATATTATGGCATGGTAGTAATCTACGTTCACGACACTTAACTTTTTTAAACCATTGGTAACTGGAAATCAGAAAATTCTGAATACACCAATAGACTACAGTACTGCTTTATGCTAAATAAACTGTATTATCCACACCACTGAAGGCTGGTGGTTGGCTAGGGAACTGTAGTTACAACAGTTACATCTTATATGAACAAACAGTGGATAATCCCAGGTGGCATTTTATGTAGTTGGGACAAATTAATTTCATCCAGCATTAGCCACTTGAAAGTCAGGTTTTTAGTCTAAGCTATTTATCTAAGCTCCCTTGGTAGGCAATGGAGAAATAAACACCTCTCAGCAGTTATCCATCCCACTCATGTTAGACAGGTATCTTAATGACAAAGTGAAACTTTAAAAGCTTTGCATAACAAACAGGGGAAAAAAAAAAGAGGAAACTATTATCAATCCATACTGACTAGAAATCAGAAAGGATAGAAAATTCGCAAAGGAAACTAAAGATTGTAAGAAAAAAATCCAATCTAGGAAGGCAGCACAAAAGTTTAAAGGCTTTTAAAGTACATACAAAACAAAAGAAATGGAAATAGCATGGTCCATTCCTGAATGGAGGAGTTTATATTCAGATGCACCAAACACAAATAACTGCCCTTCCAAAACACATGTCTTGCCAGAATTACATTAACAGCATAATACCAAGCTTGTTCAGACCAGTGGTCCCTCTGGCCCAAGACTTTGGTTCCCACAGTGGCAGCAGAAGCTGCAACACACTGAGATCATGCAACCCCAGCCACTATCTGCAGTCCACTGCAGATGGAATTGCTGAATCAGTCCCGCAGCAGTTTCAGTTAGTGCCTGCTAGTTCAGGGTATGATGGGATATGGTGATTCTGTAACCTTGATCATATCCTCTTCAGACTACTCTATACAGATGCAAGAGTCTCAACCTGTCCAGCTTCTCCTTCTGAGGCAGCTCCTCCATCTTCTTCACATTTCTGGTGTCCCTCTCTAACCTCTCATGTCCTTCTTGAGACACAGAGGCCAGAACCACACTCATACTTGAAGCAGTGCATGTCAA